GCTATTTCCTTAGTTTGCTATTTCCTGGATTTTGTTATCCAGCAATTTTCTTTTTTTTTTTTTTTTCCCCAGAAAGAACTAATGGGTGCTGACTTCCCTTTGTTTTTCTGGTTAAAATACTCCCTTGGGAAAAGTTTCTTTGCCTTAGAACTTTTCCCTTAACCATTATATTCTGGCATTTAGCACTGCACTGAAGTCTGAGGCCACTTGGTTTTATTTTTCTATCCCTTACTTTTTCTTCTTAGATTCCTAAATAATTCTTTTTCTTTGAATTTAAATCATTTAAGATATCTTAGTGCTTGGGAATTCCCATGTGAAATTTTCTGGACCATTGCATGTTCTTTTGGCCTACAGACCATTTTTTCTTCATTTCAATAAGATTTCTTTTGTCCTATCTTTATTTGCATTTTCTGCCCCATTTGTTGGTTTCTCTACCTTAGGGATTCCAATTATCCTAATGCTTGATTATGTTTTTTGTGTCTTCCATCAGATTGTTTTTTTTTTTTTTTTTTTTTTGAGACAGAGTCTTGCTTTCTTGCCTAGGCTAGAGTGAGTGCCGTGGCGTCAGCCTAGCTCACAGCAACCTCAAACTCCTGGGCTCAAGCGATCCTCCTGTCTCAGCCTCCCGAGTAGCTGGGACTACAGGCACGAGCCACCATGCCCGGCCGATTTTTTTTAATATATATATTAGTTGGCCAATTAATTTCTTTCTATTTTTTTTATGGTAGAGACGGGGTCTCGCTCAGGCTGGTTTTGAACTCCTGACCTTGAGCAATCCGCCCGCCTTGGCCTCCCAGAGTGCTAGGATTACAGGCGTGAGCCACCGCGCCCGGCCCCATCAGATTGTTTTTAATTGACTTACTCTTTTTTTTCCAAGATAATTAAATTGTTTATTAATTAAACATGATAATTCCCATCTATAATTTTTTCTGGTACCATTATTTAATGTAGATATATTGCATAGGATACGCCAACAATCATCTTTATAACCAATAATTCCATGATTTTCCTTGGATGACCCCTTTTAATGGTGAACTTCAGGTGACAATAGTAACCGTTAGTTCAGAAACACCAAGGTTCCCAAAGACAATGGCTTCTCCACCCAAGCAGGTTGTAAACGAATTTCAAATAGAGTTGGCATCACCCTGAAGAAATTCTATCTTCACACTTTTGGGGAAGTTTACCAAAATAGCTTCAGAGTAGACTAACTTTACACAGCACATTTTTTAAAAAAAAGACACATTTATTCAGCGTCATGATCAGACTACTACATTTAGCAATCAACAGCATGGGTGCAAAAAAAAAAAAATCTACATTAAAACCCTTTGTTAGAATGTTTTACCCTTACACAGAACAGAAACTAAAATAACTTGTTATACAATTAGTCACAAATACAGTCCTCAAGTTTTTTACCCATACACACGAGTATTGTCTAAAGCATGTCTTTTTTTTTGTAGCAGCTAGGCCCTGCCACCACTGTGTTTGGCTAAATTCACAAATCTGTTGTAACCTGTAGCTTCCCTGTCACTCCTCTGGCTCTCCTCGCCTGCTAAGCTTTGTTTCCTGGGAGTAATTAAAACCTTCTGCCACTGCCATAGCTACTGCTGTTACTGGAATCACCAAAGCCACCGTGGTTTCGTGGTTTGGCAAAGTATTGGCCTCCACCAAGATAGGAGCCAGAGCCTCTGCCTCCAAAATTTCCTCCCTTCATGGGTCCAAAATGTAAAGACTGATTGTTGTAACTGCCAAAATCATTGTAGCTTCCACCACCCCAAAACTGCTTCCATCATTACCAAATCCATCGCAGCCATCCCCACTGCCACCATATCCGCCACCACCAGGGCTGTCACCAAAGCCACCTCGACCACTGACGTTTCCTCCACAGCCAAAGTTGTCATTCCCACCAAAACCACCTCCACGACCACCACCGAAGTTTCCAGAACCACTTCGACCTCTTTGAATGGATGAAGCACTGGCCATCTCTTGCTTCGACGGGGTAGTTGTGGCCATCCACGGGATGGTAATTCTGAATGACAATCTTATCCACAGAATCGTGGTCATTTAAGGTCATCAAAACCAAAGCCTCTTTTTTTTTTTTTTTGCCTTAATCAGTCATGATTTCAATCACTTCAATTTTCCCATCCTGTTCAAAATAGTCTCTTACGTGATGCTCTTCAGTATCTTCTTTAATGTCACCAACAAAGATCTTTTTCACAGGTAAGTGGGCACCTGGTGTTCCAGAATCTTCTCTGGAGACAGCTCTCTTGGGTTCCACAACTCTTCCCATCCACCTTGTGTGGCCGTGCATTCATTGCTGCATCTACCTCCTCCCCGAGCAGAAGGTTGACTTACTCTTTGTCTCTTTTCATCTATATTCACAGGGCTTCAATCAAGCTTTTCCTCTAGTATTTTTATTTTCAGCAGCATTTATTCTATTCTTTGCTCTAGCTTATTTCTTCTGATTGTGTATGTATGTGGCTTCCTTTTTTTTTTTGGTCTTCAATTGATTCCCTTAAGTCTGCAATCTCCCTTTTCATGTCTATTGTAAAATGTTCTCATCTTTCAGTGTATCTTAGCGAATTCATTCACATTTTTATCATGTTGTTGTAGGGTGTGAGGCACTTGTAAGGCATTTCTTCTGTTCCAAGAGTAATACTTTCTTTCTAGAAGGCTCCTGGCAAGCTAAGTTGTTCTTTCCTTTCCTTTTCCTCCCCCCTCCTTGGCCCCCACCATGTCTGTTCACCTTGCTGGTACTGGGATGGCTTTAGTCACTTCCTACTGAAATACTGGAGTGAGATCTTGACTTGGCTTTGACAACTGTACCTGCTTCCAGTTTGTTCTGTAAAGCCTGGGCAGCTTCTGCAGCCCACAGGGTTGGCGCTGCCATTAAGGGGAAGGAGAGGGTCAGGGAGAGATTGGTCTTTGTGAGAAAAACAGGGCCCTGCTCTCTCTCTGGGAGATCTGTGAGTGTCCTCAAGGCAGGCTCACTACCTCTGGGGGAGGGGGCAGGTGGAACCAACCCTTTGGACTTCGGGTGATTTCCTGATTCTGGGGCAGACTGTCTCTGCCCGGTGACTTCCCCTTTCGCTGGCCTCTGCCCACACAAAGAGCCTGTGCACCTTTGTCAGAAATGGAAAAAGCTAACTATGGTGAGATGCACGCTGCTTCTTTCCTATTTATTAGGGAGAATATTCAAGATTTTTGATAATTTGCCAGTATAGGTTCTAGTGGTAGGAACATACTTAAATTTTAAATGCATTTTTTAAAAACCTGATTATTAAAAAAAAAACACAAACAAAAGCCAACAACAATGTTTAAGGAGGTAGCTCCACGTACCAGTTTGTGTTAATAAAGCCCTGTCTTGTGTGGTAACTGACTGTCCTCCTTTTCCTACTGGCTCTGGAGAAAAATTTGAGTGGCTCTGAACTCCTCCCCATCCTACATAAATCTCTTTTTTCCTCTTTTGTTTTCATGACCTCTTCCCACCCTTCAGTCAGCCAACCTCCTCTGCCTACCTGCTTTCCCCTTCCTCTTCCCTGAATTGCATACCACCTGTTTCACTCTTCCAAAGGAAGAAGGACTCGCCAGGAAGGCGCTGGCAAGCTCTGCTCCTGCTCACCCATACTTCACAAATTATGAAATGCGCTTTTCATTTTCACATGTGAGCATTTCTGAAATCAGAATGCTTTGCACAGTGGAGTGGCACAGCATGATTGACAGTGCTTTTTTTTACTTGGTTACATAAAATGAAAGTTATCTTATAATCAGTGGCACTTCAGGTTGAGTTTTTGCTCTAATAAAATATTTGATAATCAAAAGAATGTACACCCCACTGACTCTTCAACAGTTTGAAGGGCTATAAACATAACAGGAAAATGAGTCCAGTGTAGCTCTGTATGGGCGAGTGTGAGCGATGGAATACATATTTTATAAATGTTCCACTTCTAAGACAGTAATACCCTTTGCCACATCACATGAACCCAAATCTCAGGCAGATTTTCTTTAACTTTTAAATAAATACATGAGAAACTTTGGAGGAAATACAGGTAAGAATAATAAGTCATGCAGATTTTTGATGTCCTAAAATTGAGAAACAACTTTCAAACTATAGGACTTAAAAACTCAAGCCATTTTCTGAGACAAACAGATTGAACCTTACCAATCATGCCCAAATTGCTAGGAAAGTTTATCAGATGTTTTCCTTCTTAGGGCAGATTTTGATATGGCTTCTATTTCACACACACACACACACACCTTCTCCCCTTCTCCCCCTTTTCCCCTCCCTCCCCCCAAGCCTGCACAGGAGGATTGGGGCGGGTGAACAGGGTACTTAGAAACTTTGGCAAGTCCTGGGACTTAGCCCCTGGGTCAGTTCGCCGCTTCCCAGCGGCGGATCTGGAACGGTGTGGGACACTTCAGCCCCGGCTGCCCTTCTGTGTCCTCTCTCCCACGCGGGAAAGAGATGGTTAATCCTGGGGGGATCTAAAGCGGGGCGGGCCGGAGACCCAGGACCCGAGGCCCGGGAGGGTAACCCAGTTTTGCAAGGCCGGGTGGATCGGAGGAATTTGACAGCCTTCAAATTTCACGACTCACATCGTGCAGTCGCAAGTGACCGCGTGTCCCGGGCTTCCTTGGTGAAGTGGCGCTTGGGGGGGCCCAGGCCTGGGCGCAAATAACTGTGGGTTCCCGGCAGGGCGAGGAAAGGAGGCCGCCGCGCAGGGCCGAGGGCAGCCCGCCCGCCAGCGGCCGCGTGGGGGCGGCCAGAGGGCGCCCTTAAACCACCCGCAGCGCCGGGGGTCGCTAGGAGTTGGGCACGGGAGAGGGCACGGGAGCGGCGCACCGACCCACGTCCCCGCGCGGAGGGAAGACAGGCGGGGGAGGAGCCCGAGAGGAAAGCGAGGAGGATTCCGGGAACCCGCTGCAAGGAGGCGGCGTCTGCTCCACTGTCTGCTGCCCCAGCGGTCCCCTCCCCGGGTCCTCGCCACCCACCACCCCGTTACCTTTGCAGTCTCGCCCCGCGGCTCCCCTCCGATGCTAGGCTCAGGCCCACCTCCGGAGCCGCGCTGCGCTGCCGCCCCTCCGCCCCCCCGGGCTCCGGCGCTCGCGGTCGGGATGCGCCCTGCTGGCGGCCCCTCGGGCGGCGCGGCCGGGGATGGCCCACGGGCTGCGCGCGGAACGCGCCTGGCTCGGGCTCGCCGGCGGGGATGCTCTCCCGCCGGGAACAGAGTGTGCGGCGCAGGTGCGCGCGGAGCGCCGGCCTGCCACTTTCGCTCCCCGGGCCGGGGGCGGGCTGGGGGCGGGGCCGAGCGGGCCGGGGGCGGGGCCGGGGCGGAGACACAGAGGTGGGGCGGGGCGAGCGGGCCGGGGGCGGGGCGGGGATACCTGGTCTGGTAATTTACTAGGGTCTGTTGCAGATTGTCAACTCCTAACCAAAGCCCGCCTCCAGCCAGTAAGCACCATAGGGGAAGGGATAAAGGAGTTTGGGCTGTTTTGTTTACTGCAGCATCCTTAGGGGCTGGCACTTAGAAGACACCCAAAATGTGTCGAACGAATGAGTGAATGAATGAATGAAAGAGTGAATGGGTTCTGTGCTAGCTCCCCGAATTATTAGTTATATAAATCTCTCTGATCATAATGCTTCAATGAATAAAACATGGATAAAAGTACCCACTATTAAGTAAATGTTGTAAATATCATTCTTCTGCCTTCTGTGTGGGTGTTTCCTCCATACACCTATCCTCTCCCAGCCCCTCCGCCAATCCCCGTGTTTCGGGGTAGATGGAGAAGAAAGATAACTCTTCAGTAGTTTGTTTACCTGTTATTTATACCCTGTCAATTTCCAAAACAGAATATGAGGTAGCTTTCAGTAAAATGTTTGTATATTCTAAAACGACACAGCCACTAAAATGGGAATGTTAAAATCCTTTTTGAAGGAGAAGGGAAAAAAATATACCAACTACTATGGCTATTCTAACTGAGCATTCATCTTCACTTCAGCTTTCTGGCCTGCCAAGGAAAGGGAGGAGGAGGATGTTTCATACTTTTTGTAGATGGAAAAAAGGAAATTTTTTATTCGTGAAATCAACTAACATCTGATCCTCTTTTGTAGGCTAGGGTAATCATAAAGGGAATGCCCCAGGCCTGCCTCTCAAGTAATCATTGGCAGAATTTCCATCAGCCCATAAGATCTGAAAGGAACTCATCCAGGATCCTGTTCCTTACAGAAAACATTCAACACTGAAAACATTTTAAGCAACAGTTGTAGAGAATTTGCAGAAATAGCTTCTGAAAAACGGGCAAAGCCAATACAAATGTACTGGCTATACTGCATCTACCTTTTTATATAAATATATACATTAAAAATAAAAGTATATCAAATGTTATTACCATGTTTCCCCGAAAATAAGACCTACCTGTAAAATAATCCCCAGCAGGATTTCTAAGCATTTGCACAATATAAGCCATACCCCGAAAATAAGACCTAGTGATGGGTGTGGCTACGCAGTGTATCTGCACAACCCATGCATTTCCTCATGGAGCGGTAAAGAAGATGAGCAGCCCTTCTCATCTGTCCTATCGTGACAGCTACTATCCCAGAGGTGACCGGAAAGGTGCGGGCAGCCCCACCAACAAGGTCAGCTCCTCCTATCAGGTCTCGGCCATCCTGTGCGTGCTGCAAGCTGAGGCTTTGAGGGGAAAGTAACACATCCTCTGAAAATAAGCCCTCGGGTGTCTTCTTGAGGAAAAATAAATATGACCCTGTCTTATTTTCAGGGAAACATGGTAATAACTATGATTTATTGCAGATCGGGCAATGGTAGGTGACGTATTTTCTTTCTTCCCCCTTTCCAAATGTTCTACAGGAAATATTTTTCCTTATGTAATCAAGAAAAAGATTTTTAAAAACAAATACAGTCCACCCCAATGCAAAGAGCTTGGAAGTTGTCACTCCACTCCAGCAACAAGAGAAAAGGTGAATAAACTAAAAATTGACAGCTCTTCTTGTTTCCATCAGTAATCAAGTCACAGGGCAAACTGCAACCCCCAAAACTGGAAGGAGATCAATGCAGAGAATTATAATTTGCAGGGCCCAGAAGCCTCTAAACCATAGGAAAACATACACTGTAATTGACTAATCACTGGAGACTGAGCATGGACTATCTCAGTTGAGTTAAAAACTCCTGCGGGCCCACTGTCTTCAGTTTTACTCCAGGGAGTCCTTCCAGGTTCTCATGGTGAAGACCAGAGAAAAATTCCATTCTGTTTAGCCAGGGGAAAGGGGAAAATAAACATTTTGAAATATGCACAGAGTGTTCTGTAACAAAAAAAAAACCTGTCCTCAAGGGAAATTATTAATACTTTACCAGAGCCTAATCTGACCTAGCAGAAGGACAATTAGACAATTCAACTTCCTCTACCCCTTCCATCTGTCAAAATTAGAAGAAAAAGACAAAAGAAACTCCTCTGGAGGTAACAGCCCAGAGACAGGCCCACTAAAAATAATCTGAGATTTAATCATAAGGTTGTAGGAGGATATTTCCCCTCCTCACTATCTTACTATCCTATCAACAGGACTTTGGGATAATACCAGTGGATTACAACTCCATTTAAGAAGGCACTTCTAGGAAAACCCAAAGACAACTGGTAGACAAAAATGAGGACACTAGATAAAACTAAAGCCTCTGACATAGCTATAGCAAACATTAAACAGAGCTTAATTCTTAGCCAGAGAAACCTAATACCTCACACTAAAGGACTATTTACCTCAGCTCCTAGTACGTAATACATTATGTCTAGCTTTTAACAAAAAATTACAAGACATAGGAAAAAGTGGGAAAAAATCCCCCACAATTTGAAAAAACAAAGCAACGTTAAGAATAAAACTCTGATATAACAGAGAATTTGGAATTATAAGACCAAGAATTTAAAATCACTATGATTAATCTGCTCAGGGTTCTATGTTATCATAGGAAGGTATTTGGGCTTCATCCTGGTTGCTGATGTAGAGCTCCTAAATCCTCTGTATTTTCCGGAATGATGGGGATGATAGGAGCTCTAATGAGGCTACTCTTGGTGGGCCCCTAGATAGCTTTGGGTTGGGGACTGGTCATAAAAAGACCAAGCTTTATTATCAATGAAGCCTAGAACTTCCAGCCCCATCCCACCACAGACTTCCCAGGATGAGGGAGAGACTAGACATTAATTTAATAATCAATCCTGCCTACATGATGGAAGCTCCATAAAAATCCCTGAGCAATAGCATTTGAAGAGCTTCAGGCTGGTGAACACATCAAGGTGCTGGGATGGTGGTGCACCTAGAGAGGGCATGAAAGCACAGTACCCCTTTCCCCATGCTTTGCCCTATGCATCTTTTCCACTTGGCTGTTCCTGAGTTGTATCCTTTATAATAAACCCCAGTAATAGTAAGTAAAGTCCTTTCCTGAAGTCTATGAGTAGCTGTAGGAGTTTGGGTAGATGTTCTTTATCAAGTTGAGGATAACTATTCAAAATAATAATAGCAGCAAAGTATTAGGTGATTATAGCTTATGGATAAGTGAAGTGTGTAATAGCAATGTTGTAAGGGATGATAGGGAGAAGTTGAGAATACTCTGTTAAAAGGTACCCGTGTATTACCCATGAAGTGGTAGAGTATTATTTGAAAATGGACTCAGATTAGTTGCAATGTAGATTGCAAACTGTAATCACTAAAGATATGTTAAAAAGAAGTATAATTGCCGGGCGTGGTGGCTCACGCCTGTAATCCTAGCACTTTGGGAGGCCAAGGAGGGCGGATTGCTCAAGGTCAGCAGTTCGAAACCAGCCTGAGCGAGACCCCGTCTCTACCAAAAATAGAAATAAATTAATTGACCAACTAAAAATATATATACAAAAAATTAGCCGGGCATGGTGGCGCATGCCTGTAGTCCCAGCTACTCGGGAGGCTGAGGCAGTAGGATCGCTGAGCCCCGGAGATTGAGGTTGCTGTGAGCCAGGCTGACGCCACGGCACTCACTCTAGCCTGGGCAACAAAGTGAGACTCTGTCTCAAAAAAAAAAAAAAAAAAAAAAAAATAATTAGTATATTGAGGAGAGAAAATGGGATCATATAAAATTCTCAATTAAAACCAGAGAAGACAAAAAAAGAGTAGAAGACAAACAACAACAAACAAACCAAAAAACAAACAAGTACAATGAATAGAAAATAGTTACAAATATGGTAGATATTAATCAAAGGACAGCAATTATAACTTTAAATGGTCTAAATGTACCAATTAAAAGACAGAGATCAGCAGAGTGGATAAAAACAAAACAAGAGCCAAGTATATATTGTTTATAAGAAACCTACTTTAAATATAGAGTTAGATTAACTGTAAAGGAATGGAGAAATATGGCATGCTAACATTAATCAAAAGAAAGCTGGAGGGAGTGGTGGGGAAGGGAAATTAAATCAACCTAATGGGTAATAAGAAAACTATTTGGGTGATGGGCATACCTATAGCTGGGACTCAAACATTACAAAAATGATCCATGTAGCCTAAAGCATTTGTACCCCCTTAATATTTTGAAATTTTAAAAAAAAGATAAGAAAACAACAAAAAATTTATTTCCTTATAAAAAAAAGAAAGAAAGCTAGAATAGCATATTAGTTTCAGACAAGCAGATTTCAGAACAAAGAAAATTATCAGGGATAAAAAGGGCATTAGATAATAATGAGGGAGTCGTCTTTCCAAGAAAGTATAATAATACTTAATGTATATGCACCTAACAACAAAGTGTCAAAATATGTGAAGCAAAAATTAATAGAACTGCAAAGAGAAATAGACAAATCCACTATTAGAGATATAGGTTTCAACATCCATTTATCAGTAATTGACAGATCCAGCAGGAAGAAAATCAGTAAGGACATAGTTGAGCTGACCAGACCATCAATCAACTGGATCTAATCAACATTTATAGAATACTTCATCCAATAATAGCAGAATACACAGTCTCAAGCTCACATGGAACATTCATTAAAACAGACCACATTCTGGGCCCTAAAATTAATGTTAACTAATTTGAAAGAATAGAAATTACACAAAATATTCTGTTGGATCTTAACAGAATTATATTATATTATATTACTATTATATTATAGAAATCAATAGCAGAAAGATAGTTAGAAAATCCCCAAATATTTGGAATATTAAACAATATACTTCTAAATAACACATAGGTCAAAGAAGTCTTGAGAGGAATTAAAAATA